AAAATTTAAGACAAAGGGTATAGTGTGATTTTATATACATATAAATTTTTAAAGGACTCCTCCCATCATTAGTTAATGTAACATCACTTCATATATGATGTTCTTATACATGGTTATAATTCTTAAGTTCTACTCTCTTAGCAAATTTCAATTATATAATAGTGTTATCAGCTATAGTCATCATGTAAATAACCATTTTATTTAGTTCATCATTTTGTAGGTTGGGAAGTTAGGAAGACACCATGCAGGCAGTGTGCCTGCAATTCATTTGGCATCACTTGGGGTGATGGGCTGGCTGACCCTGCAAGATGCCTCTTTCCCTGGTATGTCTGGCACCTCACTACTCCTTGACCTTTTTCTCTCCATATTTTATTCTTTAGGCCTGTGCATGTGGCTTGGATTTTGCCCAGGATGGTGGTCTTAGGGTAGCTATACCGCCTAAATGGCAATTAGTTTATAAGAGAGCAGGGCAATAGCTACCAGGCCTTTTAAAAGGTAGGCCTGGGGCGCCTGGGTGGCTTAGTTGGTTAAGCGTCCGACTTTCGCTTAGGTCATGATCTCGTGGTTCGTAGGTTTGAGCCCCGCGTCGGGCTGTGTGCTGACTGCCAGCTCGGAGCCTGGAGCCTGTTTCAGTCTGTGACTCCCTCTCTCTCTGACCCTCCCCTGCTCACGCTGTCTCTCTCTCTGTCTCCTAGAAATAAATAAAACATTAAAAAAAAAAAAAAAAAAAGGTAGGCCTGGAACAGGCATTACAGCATCATTTACACCTTACTCTACGTTCACTGACCAGCAGAAACTCAACGGGAAGGGAAATAGACTCCCAGCTCTCAATGGGAGGAATAGAAAAGTAAACACAAAGATTTCCACCTCTTCTCCCACACTTGGAAATAATCAGTACTGTTCTGAGTCTTCAGTAGTTCACAAATGTATCGGTTACCTCGGATAAAGGTGAAGTGGCATTACACACATTGTGCGTTAACTTTTAACAACTTTTTTTTTATATTTAATGATCATGATAATCAAAATTATTTAAAGTTTTATTCCTTCTTTGATTTGTACATGTGTATTTTATGACCAACATTTTGAGTTGCAGGAAGCGTGAACTATGCTTTTATGACACATACCCGAGATCTTAGGAGCATTAAAAATAGTTTATTAATGCCCAGGGTATCATTCTAGCTTACCTAATACCTTTGATTTACTAAAGTTGCAAAAGTTATGTTGGCTTCTTTTATGGAAATAACTTTAGCCACATGGTAAAGCATAGCTTTGTACAGGTGTTTTCAGATGTCTGGTCCACTGACATCTGAAAAATTCAACCCTGGGGTCACAGAGTGAAGAAGCAAAAAAGACATAATAAAAACCACATGTTAACCATTAATGTTCATTTACCAAATCCTACTTAAACTCTTGTACTCTCTAAGCTAATTTCATCCAATTGCCTTTTAATTATAGTCTCTTGCTCAGAGTTGCAAATATAATGGCTTTTTAATATATCATGTACTGTTCTGTGTCCAATGTAGGATGTAATCATGCAATTTATTCAGAGCTAGTGCATTAGGTAATTAAAACACAAGCACACACGGATTTCTGCACATGCATATTCCACGGAGAAGAATCTGACAAATCTGTTTTTGTATGTAATTCTTTTTTAGATAGGACAGAAGTTCTGTGGCCACCAATACATGTTGTAGCCACAGTGAAATAAATCAAATATGACTATTTGGGAGATCTGTGTACCTACCAGGAATAAAAGAAACTAATTTAAAGTAGGAATGTAAGTGTCTTAACACATTTTTAATTAATCATAGTCTTGGTAGATAGAATTCTCAATGCAGGTTAGTGCTTCATTATCTAAGATATTAGGAGGTGAACAGACCCTGTCTCCTGTCTCTTTTAGACAAAGACAGGAAGAAAAAAGATGAGATTTAAGGTAATTATCAGTATTACTGAAAATGATCAAATATAACCATTTTAAAAACTCTTTCAAGAGTGATAATTACTTTTGGAGCATAAGAGGTGATACATGCATGGGTTATAAGCATTTACGTTTCTTTCAGTGAACAAATACTACTTTAGTGAAGTTGTTCACCTATATTTCATAGTAACCAGATTTTTATGTGAAGACAAGTAATTACCTGTTTTTGAATTATGTATGATTTTGAGAACTGTATAATTAGTTTTTAAAAAAGCATATCAAGCTGCATTTTTGCACATTTATTAATTCCATAATTTATTAAGTGCCAGCTATGACCTGTGTGTTAGAGATACCAAGAAAGTACCTCAGGCTTTTCATTTATTTGTGGAAAGCCATTTTTCTGGTGTTACCTCCTGGCTATTAATGTTTGGCCACACACATACACACAAAGAGGATATAGGCCATGAATCCAAATACCATGCTAATGCCTCAAGACATCTGAAAATCTTGATGGATTTATTTCCTTTTCCAATTTTCTCCGGATATGTGTTCACATATCTTGTGTTTATTTTTCTTAGAATACTAGTATAGAAAAGTATATGTACATTTCTTTTCCAAAACATTAAGATTTTTGATAACATATCCCCATTAACTAATGCCCTTTTCTGTTCCTTTTTCATTCACCTGCCTTCTTCCTCTTACATTCTTAGCAGTTTTAGGGATCTTCTTTGGAAAACACTGTGAACAGCTAGGAGGCTAGCCAAAGAGCATCCTATTCCCAAGTCAGTATTTAAGACTTGAAATCCAGATATACAAACCCATTCTCAAGTTGGTATTTCTTGTACATTAAGCTTTCGGGTTGTAAATACTGATCTTTGAGCACCTTACCTCCAGAAAGAGTCATCTACAGAAGTAGACCAACATCTACAAACAGGAAGTCAATATTAATCCCTTTTGATGCTGAGTCCCAGGTCTCAAGAGCTTGCTCCCTAAACCCTGCCATTGACTTTATCTGGTCTTGACTGTTCTCTATTTAATCCTGCCTTTTTTGCTTAGCCTTTAGAGATGCTATGTCCTAATTCAACTCTGAGGTAGAAATTCGTAGAGAAGCAAATCAAACACATTAATGTCAAAGCAAAAACAAGACAGAAATGCTCCATCATCTTGATCAAATCAAATACCAAATTCCCATCCTAAATTCTATACTCAGGTGTTTGATCTAGAGGAAATTCCAAATTCATGAATGGATTATGTATTCAATACTCCTTTTGACTTAGACCCACATTTCTGTAGAAATGGTGGTATAAATGCCATACCATATCCAGTACAAGAGGTGAGTTTCCATAAAATCCCATAGTAACAATGTGCTCCTTCTAAGGCCAAAATCTAAGCCCTTCATTTTTTCTTTAATTGCTTTGGTATGGGATTTTACATTCTGGCATCTCTCAAATCAAAATTAATCTTAAAGTTGACCTGCTTAGTTTTTTTTTTTTACTGTAAAGCTGTTAAATTTATGGTATATATTACCTACCATTACCAACAATGGGATCTTAAATCTTAACATCAAATGTAGTATAAGTATATATATAGATCTAAGTTTTTATAATTATTAATGTAAGGAAGAGAGATGTATTTCAGGTTTGATAGCTGCATTTTGTTCTGCCCATCATATTACTCCAGTTAGGGATTCAGTTAATCTCTATATTGAAACTGTAGTTTTATTTTCACCAGCCACCTCTGGACAAAACAGTTTCTCCCTTTATCCAGAGTATTTAACTACTTTCTCTGAATTTTCTTCCATAGCGTATAAATTACCCCAGATTCTGTCCCATCTATTAAAACCAACAAACCTCCTCATACTCTGTGGCTTTCTTCTAGTTATGGTCCTGTTTCCTTTCCTTTACAGTCAGAGTTCCTTTAAGGATTTCTGCCCATGTTCTGCTGAATAGAGGTATCATGATTTACACAACTTGTTCCCTTTTAATGGGCATTTAAGATAGAAATTACAATCAGTATGCTTCACTCAACATCCTTGAACAAATATCTTTGCACATTAGTGCAAATATTTCTGTAGAATACAATTCCAGAAATGAAATTCTTGGATCTAAGGAAATGCACATTATGGGTTGAACTGTGTACTGCTAAAAATTAGTTCAAAATCCTAACCTCAGTATCTCAGAATATGGCCTTATTTAGATATGGGGTCCTCACGGAGGTAATCAAGTTAACATGAGCTTATTAGGATAGGTTCTAATCCAATGAGTGGTGTTTTTATAAGAGGGAATCTAGACATAGACATGCACAGAGGGAAGAGATGTGGCTATAAAGGAAAACAACCATGTAAACATGAAGATGGCCATCTATAAGCCAAGGAGGGAAGCCAGGTATATCTTTCCTTCATGGTACTGAGAAGGAACTAATCCTTTCAACACCTTGATTTTGAATTTCTAGCCTCCAGAACTGTGATTTCTGCTATTTAAGTCACTCATTTGGTAGTACTGTTATAGCAGCCCTAGAAAACTTATAAAGCACACTTGCAAAAAAACCTCCAAAATAGCTGTGACAATTTATATCTTAACCAGCCATGGAGACAAGTAACTTTCTCCTCACCCCTCACCAGTACTTAAATATTAACCTTGGCAATGTTTTGTTAATTTCAAAGATAAATCGATCGTATCACTTTTCTTTCTTTTATTAAAATTTTTAAATGTTTGTTTATTTTGGAGAGATAGAGCATAAGCAGAGGAGGGGCAGAAAGGCAAAGAGACACAGAAGCTGAAGCAGGCTCCAGGCTCTGAGCTGTCAGCACAGAGCCCAACACACTTACAAGCCGTGAAATTGTGACCTGAGCTGAAGTCAGATGCTTAACCAACTGAGCCACCCAGGTGCCCCTGGTATCTCTTTTCAACGCACACTTCTTTGATTTCTTTAAATCCAGATTTAGCAACTCTGGAGTATTATTTCCTTTTAAAATATCTAAAATGGACTCAAATGAATTGGCACTATTGAATAATCATTCAACTCTAACTATATGATTTCAATACAGTTTCATACAATGATAAAAAAGGATAAAAATATGTAATTAACTTTGAAAAATGTTTACTCATTAACTTGACAATCTACAGCAAAATTTTCATTCTCTAGGATTATCACATGTAGCATGAAGTTTATTCCTAACAGGTGAAAGCTAAACAATTGGAAACTACACATTTTAAAAACGTTAATTTCATATTTATAGCATGTGAAAATAAGTCCCATATCCAGTAATCCAATTCATAATGTATTAAGGATTATGCTTTTGAAGTAAATTCATTACTAACCTTCCTGTTGGAAATTTAGAGTATTTAACAAATGCTCTAAAATGTTCTAAAATGGTATTATAAGTTACAGGAGCATTGTAGTAACATTAAAATTATATACATATACATATATATATATATGTGTATATATATACATATATATATATATATGTATATATATACACACACACACACACACACCATGCAGGGTTGCAACTGGTTGAAAAAGTTCCTTCCTGGAGACAGTAATAAGGTACATTTGTCCCCAGATCACTATTTTGTTAATATGCTCATCCTATTTAAGGATTATTTACGTCTTCTCTTTCACTGATTTTTGTTGGTCTTTGCATGAGTTAAGATGTGAACTTTCAGGTTATTTGACTGGACAAACCTCTTGTGACAGCTTTCAAAGGGACACACAAAACGTTTCTCCCCAGTATGGATGCGTACGTGGGTTCGCAAATTGTAGTCCAGGGAAAAGCGTTTTCCGCACCCTTCAAAAGTGCACCGAAATGGCCTCTCTCCAGTGTGAACCAGAAAGTGTCTTTTTAGTTTTGCACCCTCGCTGAATGCTTTCCCACATTCTGCACATACATGATGTCGAGGAGCATGAACGAGGAGGTGCTTTCTCAGGGAAGCTCTATTCTTCAATTTTTTTGTGCATCCACTATGAGGACAAACAATTCTTTCTGGAGTGTCACATTTCTTATTTTTGGGGGACTTCTTTCTAGCAAATTCTACGAACTGTTTAGGATCTGATACATGAGTGCCGGGTATTCCTCCAGGAGAGAGCTTCTTGCCTGTCACATACTCTGAATACTCAGGCTGTGAATTCTCTCCACCAGTCTGTTGAGAAAGTTCTTGTTTTGCCCCTTTTTGCCCAGATTTCAAGGATTTTTCCAGAAGCGAGCTTGCAGTAAGAACCTGTTGAGAAAGCTCTTGTTCTGATCCTTCTTCCAGGTAGGTAAGGGACTTCAGGGAGTCTTCTTCCAGGATGGGTTCAGAAAATTCACCTCTTATTATGCATTCTATGTAACAGTCAGAGAAGGAATCTTCTCCAACAACTAGATGGCTAGTTTCAAAGAATACACCATCGTCTTCTAAGTCCCATAGCATGTCAGGAGGTTCTTGCTGGGCTGGCCGTGGCTTGGATGGCTTTGGTTTATCCCCACTGAAGGCTCTTCTACCCAGGCCTTTCTCATCACAAGTCTTTGCCCTTTCCTTCACTTGCTGGTCCATATTGCCGTGCCTGCTGCTCCCTTGAAGGTTTGCACTGGGATTTATCAGCTACTTCCAAAGTGAAAGTGATCTGAGTAAATGGTCTTCAGCCAACACCTGCTTTGAGATAGTAACCTTTAGATAAAATATATTCCAACTTTAGAACCACTGTCAGAAAATGACCTTAAAAAATGGCCTCTACATCACTTTTTAATAACGAAATGACTACATTTGCTTATTCTCTGACAAACCTAAGAAAGTAAGAGAATGAGCCGTGACATAGGATGTACGGTACAGCTAGATCTTATGTGGGTATCCCCACAAATTATCTGCCCTTTCCAACTGACCACCTAATGTTTACTGGGCACTCACTATGTGCTAGCCCTACTCTACGCTGCTCATAGGTTGAGCTATATCAGTAAGTAGTCATACAAAAAGCCTATGCCTCAAGGAGTATACATTCTCGTGAACATGAAAAATAAGTATGTGTTACACATTAAAAGGTGAAGTGCTACAGAATGAGCAAGGGAGCTAGTAAAAAGTAATTCTCAATTTTAAGTAGGGAGCTCAGGCAGGCCTTGACTGAGACAGCAGTTGACTAAAAACTTGGAAGAAACTGAAGAAGCAAGATGTGCTTATTTTCTTGTATAATACTCTTGTGAAATTCAAATTAAATAATGCATCTAAAGTGCTTAGCACAGATCATGGCACAGAGCAAATGCTGAATGCTTATGTGAGCTAGTATTATTCACCTTTGTATTCATTCATTAAGTCTACGGTAGATCCTGCGATGTTCCATATACTATTCTATACCCAGGGTCATTTTTTTTTTTTTTTAAACGTAATAGAGAGCTAGATTTAAGCTTTGTGGGCCCTTAGACATGTGGTCTATGTCAAAACTGTTCAACTCTGCATTTTGTCATATGGAAACAGTCATGGGTGGTACATAAAGGATGAACATGTGTTCCAACAAAACAAGCAGAAGCTGGATTTGGCCCATGTGTAGTTTTCTGTTTCTTCACAAGATGGAGATTCAGAGAATAAGACACATGAAATCCATGCATTCCCATCTCTTAGGAATACAAGCCAAAACAAAGAGTTTAGCCTTGAATAATCTTCTATCTTTTTCTTACAAATCTAAAAGTGAGGCGCCTGTGTAGCTTAGTCGGTTGAGCAAAATCTCCTGATTTTGGTTCAGGTCATGATCTCACGGTTCATGAGTTTGGGCCCCACATTGGACTCTCTGCTGACAGCATAGAGCCTGCTTGGGATTTTGTCTCTCTCTCTCCTCTTCCCCACCTTTCTCACGCTCTCTCTCTCTCTCTCTCTCTCTCTCAAAAATAACTAAATAAGTAACTAAATTAAAAAAATCTACAAGCAACATTATAAAAGTTAAAGCATGAATGTGATATATTCTAAGAGCCTTTTGCTTGATGTTACAATTGTGTGCCTTATAGAAGATCTCTTATTGTCCTGATGTCCTGCTATAGGACAAAAATTAAATGCTTTTTAAAAAGGAGTACACGTGAAAGTAATGGACAGAAAACTAACAGCTTGAAAATATTTTTTAATAGCTACATTTAAAAATACCATCTCAAAAGAATCATACTGTTTACTTTCGGCAAACACACAGCATCAAAACATGTTTTTCAGTTGCTATTGGGAGAGTTTAAAATGTCTCCTTAAACATTTATATGTATAATTACATAATACATAAGTAATATTTTGTGTAAATTACAGGTTTAAGATATAAATTATAGGGCTGCTGGATGGCTCAGTTGGTAAAGCATCCTACTTAGGCTTAGGTCGTGATCTCAGGGCTGGTGAGTTCAAGCCCTGTATTGGGCTCTGTGTAACAGCTCAGAGCCTGGAACCTTTGTTGGATTCTGGATCTCTGTCTCTCTCTTCCTCTCTCAAAATAAATAAACATTAAAAAAATTTTAAATATAAAGTATAAGTAAAATAAATTCTATCTTTGTATACAATATATAAATGTTTTATATATAAATTGCAAAGGGAATTTCTTAAACATTTGTATATATATAATATATAAATAAACATAATATTTCTGTGTAATGTATATGCAAATTTTTAAGAAACTTAAAATATTCTTTCCTTAGCAATTGAAAAGCACAGCTATTTAAAAATCTTTTCAAGGGGCACCTGGATGGCTCAGGCAGTTAAGCGTCCAACTTTGGCTTAGGTCATGATCTCGCGGTCCGTGAGTTCGAGACCTGCATGGCATTTTGTGCTGGCAGCTCAGAGCCTGGAGCCTGTTTCAGATTCTGCGTCTCCCCCTCTCTCTGTCCCTCCCTCCACTCATGCTCTGTCTCTCTGTCTCAAAAATTAAAAAAACAAAAACAAAACCAAAAAACTATAAAAAAATCTTTTCAAACTATATATATGTAAAATGTTAAATGGTACAAGTGTTATTATTTTTTCTTTCTTTTAGAAAGGTCAAAGAAACCAGGAGACCATATTCAGGAAAATTGGCGTAACAAAATCTTGTTCTCTTTACTGAAAGTTATTCTTGATTCTTTTCTTTCTCATATTAATGAATATAACATCTTTGGGCAAAATCACTAGCAATCAGTCTACAGTTTGAGTAGGACAATACAAAACTCCCCTCCCCCATTTAGGCCATTTAATTAAAATACATGCAATTTGATTTGATTCCAGCTTTTCTCTCCAAGTTTATCTCTTGCTTTTTTCAGCTCCCCTATTTATTTTTCAGCCATAATAAACTCTACCTCCAATAAAGCGGCACACTCTTCCCTCATAACAATACCCACCCTCACTCCTCCTTCCCTTATTAGTGTGCACACACAATCACACAAGCTCATTTCTCATTCATATTTCTGATCTCTGCTTAAACATCACTTCCTCAAACAAGTTTCCCTTGATTCTTAGGCTGTTAGATTCCCAGGCTCAGTGTTTCCGTAACTTCCTCTTTTACACTCATCAGTCTCTGGTACTGATTACCTTAAGGTCTGTCTTACCTACTAGACTGTAAGGTCTATGAGGGCAAAGTCCTCTTCTGCTTTATTCACGTCTAGGGTTTAGAACATTCGTCTGATGAAATGAATTGATAAATATGCATTAATAAACATACTGTTGATATTGGTTTAACAAATCTATAAAATTGATTTACTACAAAATTATTTGGAACCTTCAAAATACTTAATTTAGAAGTTTCACAAAGTTGGTTATCAATGATGCCAAAATGTTACCTAGAAAGATATCTGAGACTGGGATTGAAAGAGAGAAGTATTTTCTTTATGCATTTATCAAAGCCAAAATGTAGCCCTTACTTTTCCAAGCTAGATTTTTATTTGACAGATCCTACCATTTCTTATACAAAATTTAAGCTTGTGAGTGATGTATAAAACTGAAATAGTAACTTTAACTACTTGGAAAATGTACTGGGTAAACATGGTATTTAGACAGAATCTGGATATTAAATAACGGTATGACAGTACTATAATTTTATATTTCTCAAACTGGGATAGAAGTACTTCCAAGAGTGCATCATTTACTTATTCAGTCATTTGACAAATATTTAGTATCAAACATTGTTCTAGGTGTTGACCCTAGAACAGCAAAAACAAACAAACAAAAAAAACAAAAAAACCCAAAGTTCCTGGTTTTCATGGAGCTTTTATCTGTGTGAGATAAAAATGTAAGTAAACAAAGTGGTTTCAGGTTGAGAAAAATGCTATGAAGTAAAAGCAATTAGAGTATGAGAAGGAAAGGAAATGGGGGAGGCCATCTTAAGAAAGAATGTCTGGAACAGCCTCCAAGTAGGGAGTTGAGATCTGAAAAAGAAAAGTATCAGCCCGTGGGAAGAGACGGGAAGAGAGTGTTCTTTCCAGGTTCTTTGTGCTCCAGCGGGGAGCACAAAGGGATTTGCATGCTGGAGGACAAAGGAAGCCATGTTTATTACAGACTGTGGCTGGCACAGACCGGACCGACCTGAGATAAGGTGGGGGGCCTTGCAGAATCTTGTGAGCCAGGCAGCCATTTCCATTTCTTTCACAAACCCATGCCAACCGTTGCAGGGTTTCTTTCAAACCAGGAAATAGCGTGCTCTGGCTGGGGTTAGAAAGGTATGTAGACAATAGACTTCGGGAGGCAAGGGTGAGAGCAGAAAAGTCCATTAGGCTCTTTGGCAATCCAGAAAGAGTGCTGGTGTTGGTAGTGGAGATGAAGTGGCGGGAGAGAGGGAAAACAGAGATAGAACCTTCTAAACTTTCTCGAGGACTGGATAATGGGAGTAAGACAAACAGGGAAATCAATAATGACTAAGCGGTCCTAGGTGTTTTGAGGGGGTAACTGGGCAGATGGTAGTGACACTTTAAGAGATAATCGGAGGAGGGAAGAAATGGAAGACAGGTATTACTCTCTTGATTTAATAAAGTGAACATTCTAATATAAACATTTTAATATAAGACATATCTAGCCATTTGTTGCAGTGAAATATAATATTTACATGAATTTCTCAAACAAAATTTAAAAAATGCAACTTCAAGGAAATTTCAACCAGCCATCTACTTTCATGAAAGTATATTTGTTTTCCTCCTTTATCTGTGTTAAAAGTTTGAGGCCGGTGGCCCAAGGCAGCTATAGTCAGCCCAGTCTACACACTAGAAGTCTCCTGGCCAGGGACCATTCCCCTCTGGTTCTAGGATGATAAATCACCTCCCGTCCCTGGCTCTCCATACCTTTTGAACAGGACCCACGTTAAAAATACATTCTAAGTGGTGAACTGACTACCACACACCTTTCCCCATACCTGAAAAATAGGCAAAGTTCCACGAAACAAGACTTACCCATGCACTCTGTGATATTTCCTATTCCATTTCCTTCCAAAAGAAAAGACCAAGAAGAAACTGTTACTGGCGCCCCCAGACAGTAGCTGAAATCATCCCTGCCTCACGCTCAGCCTATTAGACTCACCCTCTTTTTGATGGACATATTCAAATTAGGCTACACCTACATTTCAACCCGGCTTTGCTTGGGCTAGAGTTTCCTAGGAAAGGCTCTACCAAACCTGTAAAGGTAAGGAGATCATGTAGCAGGGCAGTGGCGGCGGGTGTGACTCTGCTCCGCCCAGGTCAGGGTTGGCCGCCTAGGCCTGATCCCCAGCGCTCAGCTCACCTTTAGCCGAGACTCTGCCCTGCAGGGGTGACTCCTCCCCCGGCGCCTCAGTCCACATTCCTTCACCACGTGGGCGAACATTTTTGAATTCCAGGCTCCTAGTCTTAGCCTGTAGTAGGCACCCAGTGTTTGTTTAACAAATCAACTTAGGTGTAATGATATTTAAGCAGTTATTTTTCAATGAAATGAAAATTCAGCGTGGAGGCACTTTTACCTCCTGGAAATAGAGGTTTCCCCAAACGCACACCACACCTTGCTCTACACTCTCTTACCCAGCCCCAGCCCCCAGTCCCCACCCCACTCTCTCTCCAGCCTCAGAATTACTGCTTTTTTTCTTTTTCAGGCATTAATGTGACCGTTCATATCCCTAAAGGTAACACAACTCACTTTGACAGCCGTGGTCAGTCAGCGCTCGCCATTGGCTATGGTCTAGTGAAGTTTAGTAGTTCATGTAAGCACGCAGACCATTAAAACAAAAACCCAAGTCAGTGTTTAAAAACCTCTTCAATTTTACTTGAAGCTTGTCTGCAATTCACATATGTGTCTGGGAGCAGTTCTCCACACTATTTTTTTTTTAAATTTGTTTAGAATAAATATCAGTATCTCTCGCTGTGAGATCAGAAAGTAAAAGATCATTTCCAATGGGGGAAATATGTAAACTGTTTTTGTAGGTATTATTCCCTCATCTCCTCCAGTAGGCATACCAGATCCTCACCCATGTAAGATTGAAGCTACGTAAAGCTTCCTTAGCTCCTTACCTTGTTACAGCATATTATTCGTAGGTGAGTTTCTGAAGGCAGAAACGACTTCTCTCCTGTTCTCTATGGCGCCATGCTATGGTCTGTATAAACTTCATAGACAAGTTTTCCGAGCTGGTTATCACCAACCCTTTTGTTGGTGATAAAATTGTTAATGTTTTAGGTTTCTATAGAAATACCACCTTAAGAATCCTAATAGACATTCTTTTCAAGCCTTTGTATGGAAATGTTGTTGGTCTTCGAAAGTCCCCCTCATCTCTTTCTCTTTCTGTGTATCATCGCTATTTATATACATAAATAAAAATATAAATAAGTGACATATAATCATTTATTTTAATATATATTATCTGTATATGTAGATTATGTATACATGACTATATACCATTTGTTTATATTTTTATTTCATATATAATTTAGATATAAAAAATGATGATGGTCGTATGTATATAGAGAGAGATACTCACACATACCTAAGCTGAAAATCCTTTCTTTGATCAATGTCACCAGACCACACCCTTTTGTTATCAGCCCCTTAACTGTTGAGACAGTACATACAATCAGCTAGGTTAGTTTATAACCCCTTCCTCACCACTGACTTAGTCTGTTCACTTGGTTTGTGTTAGTGTGACTTTGTCTGGAAACTGGAGACCACATATTTAGAAAATCTAAGTTTACATTTCACAATCCACCTTCTACATAAATTTTTGCTCCTGTTTTGTTTTAGCTTTCCTGAAGAAGTAAACCAAACAGAAGGCACTGATCTGATGTCATACGAACCTAGCTCCAGGGCAGTTCTCTAAAATGAGCTAGGGAACCAATTAAACCATGAAACAAAAGTGGGCTGCCTTTTGAAATTGGTACAAAGAGAAAAGTGCATGGGAACAAGTAATGTTTTGGATTACTGCAATTTTAGTATAATTCTTCTACAAATAACATCCTGGCTAGTTTTTAAAAATTATCTTTTGATTATTTCTGTGTTGCAAACAAATATATTCCTTAAAATGCTTAGAATGTGAGACATTAAATATAATATGCTTTAATTCACTCAACACATACACATATTTAAGGTTTTTTTTCCCCTCCAGATAGGCCACTGTTCTAGGCCCTGAGGGTATGTATCCCTGGCCTTCTGGAATTTGCAGGCTGAAGTAGCAGGGCAGGAACTAGGGTGAGGCAAGTAACTCACAGGTTTCCCCACAGAAAAATTTAAGGAATGCCAAAAAATTCAGTAACTAGAATTAATAATATTCAAATTTAAAATTTTTATTTAGTTGCTTTTTTTAAAATCAAATTTTAGTTAACACACACTGCAGGTTTCAGAAGAATTCAGTGATTCATCACTTACAACACCCAGTGCCCACCGGGACAAGTGCTCTCCTTAGTGCTCATCACCCATCTAGCCCATCCCCCACCCATGTCCCTCTATCAACCCAGTTTGTTCTCTGTCATCAAGAGACTCTTGTGGTTTGTTTCCCTTTCTCCCCCTCCCCACCCCCTTCCCATATGTTCTGCTATCTGAACATATCTTCAACTATCTATCTTGTGGTTTTGTTTCTTAAATTCCACATATGAGTGAAATCATATGGTGTTTGTCTTTCTCTGATGGACTTATTTTGCTTAGCATAATACATTCTAGCTCCATCCAAGTCATTGCAAATGGCTACAATTTATATTTTAATGCAATATTTTAAAAAATAAAAATTAGTGCAAAAATCCATGGTGAATAAGTATCAAAAATTAAAATAAAGGCAGACAACTAAATAATCATGCTTTGTAAATGCCAAATGCAGCTGTTATTAGGACCATGAAGGGTAGGCATTTGGTGTTATGGGATCCCATAATGGGAGGCTGTGATGGAATCTGGAAGTTCAGGGAAGGTTCCTCTAGAACTGTTATGATCTGAAGGCAGTTTAGAGGGCAGAACTTCTCTAAAGGTAGAGGGAATAGCTATTTAAAGAGGGAGAGCAAGAGAGCATGTGCATTGCTAACTCCTCACCCTTGTAGACCATGGTAAGAAGTTAGATCTTCATCCCAAGAGCAATGGAAATAGACTGTTACCAGAAAGCATGCTTCATATATAAATGCATATTAACCTTTACAACTGTTGTTTCATTGTTGGAGCTTCAGTCTGTCTTTGAGCTAGCTAATACTAACTGAATGATGTATATGCATTGACTCATTTTATCTAGAAATCAAGTTTATACAATTATTATTACTATTATTATTATCATCATTTTATTTGCATTTAAAGATGATTATTGGGTCACCTTTGGTGGCTTAGTTAGTTAAGCATCTGACTTCGACTCAGGTCATGATCTTGCAGTCTGTGAGTTCAAGCCCCACGTTGGGCTCCATGTTGACAGCTCAGAGAGACAGATTCTGTCTCTCCCTCTGTCTCTGCCCTTCTCCCACTCACTCTCTGTCTCTGTCTCTCTCAATAATAAAAACATTAAAAAAAGGAAAATTCAGAGGCACAAAAAAAGCAAGTAGGTCAACTAAGCACCTAATTTCAGGTTAGAACTCAAGTATACCACACCTGTTAGAATGGCCTTTATCAAAAAGGCAAGAGATAACAAATGCTGGGATAGATGGGGGTAAAAGAGATCTTCTGTGGGATTATAAATTGGTGCAGCCACTGAGGAAAACTTTATGGAAGTTCTTTGAAGAATTAAAAATAGAACCACCATATGTTTCATCAATCCCACTTCTAGAAATATATCCATAGGAAATGAAAATATTAAATTAAAAAGATATCTGTACATCCATGTTCATAGCAGTATTATTCATAAAAGTCAAGACATGAAAATAACTAATTGTCCTCAGATGGATGAATGGATAAAAAAGTTGTGGTATAGAAGTATAACAGAATACTACTCAGCCGTTAAAACAACAAGGGGACCCTACCATTTGTGACAACATGAGTGGAACATGAAGGCATTATGTTAAGTGAAGTCAGAAAAAGACAAATACTCTACAATAGCACTTATGTGTAAAATATTCAAAAGGAAAAAAAGAGAAAGAAAGAAAGAAAGAAAAGAAGAGAAAAGAAAAGAAAAGAAAAGAAAAGAAAAGAAAAGAAAAGAAAAGAAAGAAAAGCCAAAGAGATCAGACTGTGGTTACCAGAGGCAGAGACTGAGGGAAAGAGGAATTGGAGGAAAGTGGTCAAAAGGTACAATTTGGATTTATAAGATAAAGAAGTATTAGGGATGTGACATATAACATGATGTCTATAAATAACACTGACATATGATATATATTGGAAAGTTAAGAGAGTAAATCCTCAGAGTTCTCATCACATAGAGAGAGTTTTCATCCCTTTTCTCCTTTCTTTTCTTTTTATTGTACCTAGATGAGAAAATGGATATTAGCTGATGGATATTAGCTGAACCTATTGTGGTAGTCATTTCATAATGATGCAAACCAAACCACCATGCCGTACATCTTAAACTTATACAGTGATCTATGCCAATTATTTCTCAATAACATTGCAAAAAACAAAAAAAAAAACAAAAAAAAAACAAACCCAGATCTCAAGTGTGTTTAATTCTTTGAGATATAGGATTTTACATTATATTATGGTATTTTAGAGATGCCATGATTTTATCTTTTATAAGAAGTCTCTTCTTGCATTATTATTTTCTGTCATTTATAATGCCTATTTACATACTTATTGATATTGATAGCCTTATGAATTGTTGTTACCCATTTTATGGGTAAGGTAATGGAAAGTCAGTAATGACAAATGCATCTTCAAAGCTGTGCAGGTATTAGTTTATGGGCCAAAATTTAGACCCCCAAGTCTTGCTATCTGGACATAAAGTTTAAAGTTAATTTTTTTTAAGTTCTGTCCGTTGTTTTAAAGGATTTAAAAATGTATTTTTAGAGTTTCTCTACAAAAAACAAAAAAACCTTCCCCAAACCCAGTCAATAATATATACTTTTACCTGGAATGTGATATTTTAGTAGATTATGACTTTTAAGAGGTCATAATAAAGCAGATTTTGACTTTGCACTTTTTAAAAAATTGAGATATAATTGATATAAACATAATATTAGTTTCAGGTGTACAACATAATAAATCCAGTTAACATCCATCGCCACAAA